AGCAATATAGACTGGGGTGGGGGAATGATTTTATGTCCAGATATAAATAGGGCCAAGAATCAAGGTTTCAAGCAAACTTTCCCAAAATGGAGACAATGATATCCACCCCGTTACCTCAGAGAATTCCTTGCATGATATGAGACATATGCTCATGTTTAAATTTTATTCAAACTTTTAGTCAGAAAAGGGCTGGGGGGATGGAGTAGCCAAAGGACATTTTTCTGTCCAAGTGTAACTTGGGTTGATAGCAGATGAAATTAAGTGAGATAGTTATGATATTTTGTCAGAAACCATGAGTGTGGGGAAAGCGGGTACTTCTCTCAGCCCCACAGAAATGTCACATTCAGCAATCTGAAAAGTTCCCGCTTCTCATGCAAAAAGTGCAGCAAATGCAACAAAAAAAGGTACAACATGTCTGCTGGAATGATCATGGCTTTGTCAAGGGGAAACAAAGCATTTCTGTCCATTATTCCTGCCAGAAGTCCACATATAAAAACAAAAGAGGGGAAAAATCTGTGCAGGGCAAAAACAACAAAACTGTTTTGTCACATTCACAGGGCTCTTCCACACCACTATGTCCTTTTGCTTTTTTCAGATAGCTTTTCCCAGTCTGGGATTGCCAAATTACCCTCAAGTAGGACTCAACGAGTCCAATGTAAGAGACTCCTAAGGTGTGCAGGACTGCAGCACATGTCACTGAATAAGAAGCCAGAAACATTGCAGGACAGTGCTAACTCAGGGCCATGGTGCACTTTCAGCAAAACCATGTAATAGAATCCTTTCTGGATTCTTACAATTTCAGGGCTGCAGGTGAAGGATCACTGTTTTGAATGCTTCCTCAGTAAAGAGAAACTCACTGCATAATAGTAAACTGTGACTGAGAAAGAGATGCAGTGGAACAAAACATTTACAATTAAAAAATCAATGTTCTGAAGCAATCTAAGAATGGTTATGATGGACTAGCTAAGGAGACGTGGGTTCAGCTCCCCAATCTTCCATGCATGGTTACTGAATTATCCTGGGCTAGTCAGTCAGCTTAACCTACAACAAAAGGTTGTTGCGAAGATAAAACGAAGGAGAGGACAGTGTACCCTGCCCTGAGCTCCTCCAAGGAAGGTTGAGATAAAAATGTAATTATAGTGTGCACCAAATCAACTGCCATTTTTTGCAGGGCCAATGCCACGTTCCTGTAGAGTTGGCAGGTCTCCCCGACCTCCAGTGGGACATGGGGGTAAAGGTTGCTAGCTCCAGGTCGGGGAACTTCTAGAGATATGAAATGGAGCCTGGGGAGGACAGGGACTTCAGAGGGTTACAATGCCATAGAGTCCAGCTTCCTAAGCATCCATTTTCTCCAGGGGAACTGATCTCTGTAGTCTGGAGATGAGCTGTAATTCCAGGGGATCCCCAGGTCCCACCTGGAGCCTGGCATCCTTACTTTGCTGGTTTACTGAATGACCATGGGCAGGTGCCCTAAGTTTGATTACGTGATCAGTTATACTGGGATAATTATGCTTGAATTTGCTCTGTGTTTATACGTTCAAGTTATGTAAGGGTTAAAATAAATTAAGAGGTCTTAACTTTCTTTTATCCTGGAATAAGAGGCCACAAAAATAAGAGCTGACCTGTTATCCATAATAACTTGTAATTGACATGAGATAAACAGCAATGGTCCAAGCAAACAGGAAGAGGAAGGGTGAATGGCAACATGGCCTCATGATGTGCTGCTTGTGATCTGGATGATAAATACTTCATATTCCAAAGTGTAACTAAGATGAAGCCATCAGGGCAGGGTGGGGTTGGAGATGAGTCCAGCTCTACCTTGGCAACTGCCTTTAAAGGAGGCCCGTGCCAAATTAGGTTGCAAAATCAATGAGCTCATCTAGCGGCTGAATTTCTGCAAAGGCTTTCTTGCAAGGTGTATGCGTTTTCTTCTGTTTCTCCTGGAGCCCTAAGTTAGCATTTGCTCTAAAAACAAACCGCCTAAGTCCTTTCCAGGCTTCCATTTTGCTAGTTCATTTACTTGAAGAGTTACAAGAGCCGTCTCTATAGTTCTGTCCTGGCAGCCTTGCCTCAAGCACCAACCCTGGATACATTTAACTCCTCCCTTTAAAGGCTTAACATTTGAGTATGATGGGCCATAAAAAAAAATGCTACCAATCCCCAGCCACTTCTCTCCCCACCACCACACACAACATGCATTTTATAAACCAGCATGCAGTTTACTCTGTCTAAACACAGAACTAGTACACTGCTACAGTTCACCATGGTAACACTTAACTCTTCAGCAGCCAGAAGTCTGTCTCCAATTCTTCCCCCTTTGGCTCATGAGAAGCATGGCAATGTTTACTAAAGAGATGCTGGCAGAGCACTTCGTTTAATGAAGCACTTGGCCTTTTAGAGCCCTCATCCTCCCTTCACAGAATCATGGACTTGACAAGTTTAAACAAGGGCTGCAGAAACTGACCCTTCAGTATAGGAAATGTTTGCTTTCTGCTGTATATGCTGTCTCTTACGGATTGCTGCAAATGAAATGCATACCCTGTTGCAAATGAATCGATGCCTCAACTCTGGCCCGGAGCTTTCTAATATATGTATAGCCGCCCTGAGCCTGCTTCGGCAGGGAGGGCAGGGTATAAATCAAATCAATTGAATTAATTAATTAATTAATTAATATGGATGAAAAGACGTACAGGGACAGAGGCGGGAGGCAAAGAAAGTGGTTCTTCCTCTAGGATCTACGTCTAATTTTGAACCTACAATAAGCCCTTGTACGGGGAGGTTTATATTGCACTTCTGTATTGATTATAACAGGGAGTAAAAACCTACCATTGTTATTTAGACTGGCAGCATAGGGTTGCCAACAGGCCCGGAGAAAAACATCCTGTCTCTTTAATAGAAGCTAAATGTGTAGAAATGGGCATGGAGGGCCAACTTAGTAAATCATCTTTTCCTGTAAATTATTTGTTGGGAGTTTTGTTGGAGCAAGGAGAAAGTGGGCAAGTTAAGGATGTACTTAAGTCTCTCCAACACTGAACATAGTGAGATGTCAAGCTTTTTATTTTTGACTGGATAGTACTCAAGATAGTTACTAAGGTCAAGTCCAATCTAAAGCAATAATGTAAACACTGGCCAAAAAACCATACCTTTATTGCATTGCCTTTTGAAGTGATGCATGTTTCCAGAATGTGTGTTTTAGACTCACGATCATTAACAAAGCAAGAAAAAGGTCTATCCAGGTATAGTAACAAGGGATCCTAGCCAAAGCATTTATGGGAGTAAGAGAAACATACATTCTTAGGCATTACAGAGAATTACAGGCAGGTGGGAAGGTTCTGCCTTAGAAGTAGACAAGTTGGCTTACCAAATTTGTTTTCATGAAACAGACAAGTTCACATTGGCCTACTCATGCAAAGCAAAGAAAGCAGCAAACATCTTTTCACTGAATTGTGAGTTGTTCAACTACACAATGGGATTTTTCTAGCACAACAACAACTTATACCATTTTCCAGTCTATAATTGCTTAGGTAAAACTGCAAACCACCCAGGGCATTTAGCATACATTTTCCTTGGGTTTCAGCACCTGGTATACTACCTAAACTAGGCAAGACTAAGTGCATTTAGCTAAAAACCCTCTCCATCTGGATTTCTTCAAATAATTTTTCCAGGGGGATTGCAGGGTGACTACTTTACAGGAGAGATAGTATGCCAGTGCAGGCAGGAAAATGTTATAAAGCACTAGCAAATGGACCATTAAAGCTTGTTTTCTCTCTTCCTTAACATACTTTATGTACGTGTTCAGGTTGGATCCAACCATTTTCCCACTAGTGAAAAGTGGTCAAAGTCAATCAATACAAGAACCTGCATGAACAAAAGCTGTGTGGAACAAACACTGGAAGGAATTGGATACAATTGAGTGAAATGTTGGTGCGATCCAATCCATTGTTTCCCAATGTCAAATGGCGCACACTGATGCCTGAAGCTAGAAAACACACATACACAAGGTTAAACCTGCACAGATCCCAGTGCAAAGAAAGTATGAAATCTGCAGTCTCTCTTGGGCTTCTGCCCAGTGGAGTCCATAAAGAACAGTTCTGAGTCATTACTGTGAACAACAGTTGACAAAACGCTGGGCACTAGCCATTGGGAGTGAGAGGTCTGCCCTGGGTTTCTTATATTATTTGCTAAACATTAAACCTGCCTGAGGGAGTGATGGACATTTTGGCTGCACAACCTCTTTCTGTTGGGAGGGGCATTTTACAGTTGCTACGATTCAGAAATTCATGCAGTACTTTTTTTTCTTGCTTTTTGAGGAAACGTTTTTACCTAGAGGTTTGATTTAGGGTATTTGTGCTCAGTATTTCCTCCTATGTACTGAGAAAAAGGATTCACAAATATACATAACTGAAATTAACTGCTGCATTTTATGCATATCACCTGCATTTCATTTGCAAGATGGACAGACTGACTGGGTAGAACAGTAAAGGACCAGTACATCTGGAAGTCAATTCTTCAGTGTTTGAACGGAATTAGTCAAATCGTTCAAGCAGCCAGCCTCCTCATCCATACTCTGAAGCTGCCTCTTTCTCATCCTCCCCCCCAACTCACTCCAGTCATCATAAACCCATACAGTAGTGCAGAACTTTCTAGATATCGGTAAACATAACACCGCTGGAATGCAATAGGCGTGCCGTTCCCATGTGTACCAGAAAGACTGCTGGCAACTGCGTGTGAAGGAAAGTGACAGGGACCAGAGTCGGTTAGGTTTGTAATACTTTTTTATTATTATATCTCACAATCCAATGCCACACTGTGGGAGTGAAGAGCAGACCTCCTGCTCCAGGCTGTTGCGCCGTCCCACTTCAGTAAACTTAAATCTGTTAACTATCCAATCCTGGGCACACCTGAGCCACATCGCCAAAGCAAAGCGGGACTGTCCCGAGTCTTAGCGCCAGGAAGACTTCGCGGCAGTTAGTGGAGGGGGGGGGGGGGAGCCAACTTACCAATGTCCGAATTGCAGAACGCATCTTGGGGGTGGATGGGGACGCAGGTGCAGGCTTCCGCCACCAAGTCGCTCAGGCTCCAGCTGCCCAGCAGTGCCAACAGACTCAGCACCCACCCAGCCATGCTGCTGCTGCTGGAGGCTCCTTGCTCCGGAGTTGGGCAACTCCACGGAAAGCAAAGGGCGGAAGAAGAGGAGGCTCACTTGAGAGAGACACACACAACAAGTGGGGCAACTTCGGCCGCCTCTCCTCGCTCTCCCTGTTCCTGCTCCTGCTCCTGGCAGGACTTCTTGGCAGTTGGGGGGGGCGTGTAAGAAAAAGCTGGCGAGTCTCTTCCGCGCAAGTCCGCAGCTCCCAGAGCGCCTCTTTTCGCTTCTCGGCTCCTGGCAGCGGCGGGGAGTTATAGTCGCGATCGCGCCCCTCTCCGGCGCTCGGGGTCCCGCCCCCCGGACCAATCGGAGCCCCGCATTACCTCATTTCCCCCCCCCCGGGAAAGGGGAGTGGCAACAACCGACCCAAAAAAACCAAAAACCCAACACGTTTTGGAGGCGGGGTCGTAGCGAGGGATTCAGCTCCATATAGGGAATAATGTGCCTTCGCCGTTTCCAGGCGCCGCTTGGGACCGGGGGGGGGGCACCACTGGTTGGTGTTCGGAGGAAGCGGGCGGGAGGAAGAGGCGACCGGTGCGTCTCCCCGTCTCGGTGCAGGAAGCCAGGGAAGCAGCGCCCCCCGTTCCCGTCCCCCCGCTTCCCCGGCTCCAGGTCGCCACGTGTTGCTGGCAGCAGGCAGCCTTGCCGGACGGCTGCAGCGTCATGGAAACTAGCGGGTCGTCAAGAAGAGAGCCTACCAGATCTTCCCCCCAAGTGTTGGGTCCCTCACCTCGGCGCTCCGGAGTCAGAGGAAGATGAGTGTGCTTCCTCTTGCTGCACAGCCATTCCAGCCGTGCACGGGAGGTCTGTTTATAAGTTTCCGTGGGAAGTCCCCACTACCTGACGGGCTGCTTCCCACGACCGGCCTTTCGAGTCCTCACCGTCATGTGCAAAGCAGAAATCCTATATAAACTGAGTACAGCCTCATTTGAATCCCCCGCACAACGTGTACACTGTATGTGAATTGTATATGTATTCACTGTAACATGTAGGGGTGGCGTGTTAGCTGTTAGACAATAGATATGGACATACCAGTCGTTTAGGGCACACAAGTGGAGAAAGATGTGGCGGTGTGTCTGTAAAGTGCCATCAAGTCAAAGCTGCCTTCATAGGGTTTTCAAGGTAAACAACTAAGCAGAGGTGATGGGCCATTGCCTTCCTTTGCAAAGTCTTCCTTAGTGGTCTCCCATCCAAGTACCAAGCCTGCTTAGTTTCCAAGATCTGTTGATATTGGGCTATACCATACTGTTCCACATCCGAACAGGGAGAGGTACAAATTTCAGGGACTTTGTGTGGAGGCCCATGGTGGCTACCTCCAGCTCTGCTTATCCAACTTTAACACAAGGCTTTGCTGTTAAGATCTACAGGGAACAAGGTCTTGTGAAAAGATTCATTAAGTGCACTGCTATCGTGCCACTTTATGGTGAGAAAGTCAGGTGTGTAACTTCTTCCTGGAAGTGGTATGACATTTCAAGGCAGTAACACTCAGGAGCCACAGGCAGGTCTTTGACATGCCACCTGTGGCTTTGCTCCCCACTATGGCACTGCTCCCCACTATGGCACCTGCCCCATGTTTCAGGAAAGTGGGAAGAGCCCTAGCCTGGTGGGGCTTGATGTGGCTGGCAGGTGGTTCCTACCTTGACACAGCTGCTACTGGAGGAACAGGTAAGCTGCAATCTTCCTTGAGGTGCAGGGATTGAAGTAAATGTGGCTTTTTTGGTTGATGGCAACATCACCCAAAGCTCTGTGAGCTGTGGAGTGAGTAGCAATGCACTAAGGCCTGGTCTACACATGCAACAGAATGAGCTGGTAGAATGGACTGTACTGAGGGTCTAGTCTAACAATACCTAGTCTAACAATGCAATTCTATACATTGCAGCAGTGGTTCTCGGTTTCCACAAATTCCTTTTGACTACATGCTAAACTCAGCATGAATCAACATTTTGCACAGCTCCATAAGCAAACAAACTTTTACTCTAATAACAGTGTCTAAATGCTGATCCATAAAGAGTTCGGTGCTGCTTGACATTCATACCGATGTTTCAGTACATGGCAGCCAAAGCTCAAAATCGGCATGCAGCTGCTACACAATCTGGGCCTATATACATGTGGCACTGGGTTTCTTTTACCTGTGATTAAGAGATAGAAAGCCAGCCATGGGAACATACACACCTTTCCTTCAGTCCTCAGCAAATCCCCTTGAGCCCCTTGAGTTCCCTTGAGCCCCTTGCATTCTCACTGCCACTGAGTGTTTCTTCGTTGTTGACCCACTACTACCTACCAATCTGGGCAAGGAAGTACCCACAAAACAGGGCAGGTGAATGCAGAAATAGATAATTTCAAACACTGAAACAGAGCAGTTTGTCAACCTGTCCTGCCCCGCTGTTACGCTGCCACTAAAAATGCTTGAAAACTAAGATTAGTACAAAATGCAGTTGCCAGCCAGCATTATAAGTCCCAAATGGTCTGGGCCCAAGACATCTGAAGGACTGTCTTCTTCTGTATGAACCTACCCATACTCTTAGATCTCCTCCTTCTGCCATGTGAGATATTGTAGGTGGGCAATTGAGAGGGGATTTTTTGTTGCTGTGGTGGTGCATGGACTCTAGAACAGGGGAGCATTTTTTATAGCATGGCTTTTGGCTGTACTTTCACTGACTAGCCTAAAAAGGTTCCTGTTAGTAGTCACTCAGAGATACTTCCTAGTATGTGCATGTGAAATGCCATCAAATTGCAGCTGATCCCATTGGGCTTTCAAGGCAGGAGACATTCAGAGGTGGTCACTCTGCATAGTGTTCCTTGGTGGTCTCCCATCCAAATACTAACCAAGGCTGACCCTCCTTAGCTTCCAAGATCTAACATGATCACACTGGCCTGGGCATAACTATACTGCTAGTATGTAATGAGGTAATCATCTGGCATATTTAGAAAGAAGACCCATGTCAATAATTGCAAACACACCAGTGAAAGTAACTGAGGATATCTGTGTTTTCTATCTAAGTACATTTTATTCTACCCTCTTCCCAAGGAGCTCTGGGCAGCACACATAATTCTTCATTTTATCCTCACAACATGCCAATGACATAGATAGGCTGAGAGATACTGCCTGGTGTAAGATCATCCAGCATGTTTCATGGGTGGGTAGTGATTTGAACCCAGGCCTCCCAGATTCTAGTCTAATATCCTAACCTTGATGACACAGTAGCTTTAACGTGAAACTACACCAAAACTATAAAATACCAGCAGACATGGGGTATTCCCCCCTTCCCCAAACAGGGCCCGTGTCTGTATTGCTTATACCTTGGTTGCTCTGTTACCCTTGCTAGTTGCCCACCCCATGATTTTGATAATCCTTACAATAAATATGCCAGGAAAGCTACTATTATTTAGCCAATCCATCAGTTAGTGAGTGTATGCCACTGTATCTCCATATGCTTTCTTTAATACAAAAATTTCATCCTGACATTGCAAATAACTAGCCTACAGTTCTCACCCACCACATTCCACCAAGTCTTGGGTACACAAAATGGAGAGAGGCTGTTTCTGTTCTCAAAATATCTTGCAGACATTTGAGTTCAAAATGCAAGCAGGTATGAAGGAGATATCTGGTGACTCAAGCAGTGATAAGTGACTTCTGAAACCAAAGGTCGTCACTTCCAGATTGTAAATTTTCTCTGGACACAGATTACACCTCATAATCGTTTGGAATGTGTCTGAGTATTATGCTAGAGGGCACTGTGTTGCAAGAGATTGGGGTCTTGGGACTTTATTGGAAATAAATAAAATTATGTTGCTCACCCCTGGTGATAATTAAAGGTTCAATGGATTGGATTCTCAGTTCTTTATGATGTCTGCCTTTGCTAAATTGCCACTGAGATACCTCTGTTCTCCTTCAGAACCATTTTGAATGTGGTTGTTCACTTCTTTTCTCAGCAAGGAATATCTGAGATGCTGTTGCCAAAAGATGCTTGAAGAGGGTGAACAGTGACAGTAGCTAAAATGAATTGGTACCTTACAGGACACTATTACATCATTGATAAATGAAATTATCCATCCATACAAATGAATCTCTTTTCACTCCTGGTTAGATTTGATCATGAACATTTAAAAGACTCAGGATTTAAAGGTAGCTGCTTCTGAATCAGCAAAACCCTGTAAATATTTTTAAAGGGAACAAAGATTGTCATTGAATTGGCAATATGTTACATGTTCCCACTACTTCTTGCTGACTTTTATTTTTGGTATATGCCCTGAGTTTTCTTGAGAAAAGTGGACTTACTTTAAAATAAATCTCCATGACAGAACCTGCCACACACAGAGACACACAGAAACACAGACACACACATCGTGAATGAATACCTTGCTTCAAATTCTGTAATGTTTCTTTCCACGCCTGAAGGAGGACACCAATGCAGATATTTTCCACACTTAGGCTAGTGCTAGCCGGTTATATGTATAAGCGAAATGCCCATAATTATATCAAAATACACCATGCTGATTCCTGGGGTGTACAGTATCTCTGTGTGCTCTGTATAAAAAGATATGTGGTGCACCTGGAAGAATTCCTTTCAATATGAGCCAGCTTACCTCGTGTCTCAGTTGAAGGCAGCTTTTGCTATCACCACAATAATGTCCTCAAGTGAATAGCCCCCATTCACTTTACTCAGGAACACCACTGGTGTGGAGTCTAAACTTTGCCCATGGTGGCCGTGTTGCTGTTCAGTCGCACAGTCGAGTCCGACTCTTCGCGACCCCATGGACCAGATCATGCCAGGCCTTCCGGTCTTCCTCCGTCCTCTGAAGTTTGCTCAACTTCTTATGTTCAACTTCATGGTGGCCGTAGCCACTGACAATAAGTTTCCTCTTACCTCTATAATGGACCCCCTGATATTCTCCCCACTCTGAGGCAGATTTTCCCTCCAAAATTCTTAATTTCCTTCAGGTACTGAGTTAGCTCCCAGCAGCATGATAATATTGGAGGTTTTATAAATCTGAATTTCCCACCCTGTGACAGAATCTAATTTGGCTTTTGCCCAGCCCAAGAACTTGTCGGAAGAAAACAGGAGCCCTCTTTCTAGATCCCTTGAAATGGCACTGGAGACTGTGTACAGTGAACAACTAATAAAGATTTTATTTAATAGGTAGGTATGGTATGGAGTTGTTAGGAATTGGTAAGGCTGAGGTAAACGTTGGTAAAACAGTATATATTTCAGTTGACAGATGAGATGGTGTTATAGCAGCTTATTTTCACAAATTCTTGGTTCTTATCAGTGAGCGATGGTTG